AGTCAAGCTGTTCAAAAACCTTACCACAGGTATGAGTATACATTTTGTGAGTGGTGAGTGAGTTTGAAAATTTTTTGTACGCCGCACTCAGCAATATCCCCAGCTATATGGCGGTCTGGCAAATAAATCGAAGTCTGGACCAGAAAATCCAGTGATCAACAGCATGAGCATCGATCTGCGCAATTGGGAACCGATGACATGTAATCCAGCAAGTCAGCGAAACTGACCAATTCGATCCCGTTAGTCGCCTCTTACGACAAGCATAGTCGCCTTTGGGCGGCAGAAGCATGGGTTACTGAAGACCTATTCTACAGGCGGTACAGACTTTCTAAATATAGAGGAAACAGTAAAGGTGGGTCTCACCTGTCTCCTGAATTTCAAGCTCAGATTGGGTAAATCAGTGGAAGGAAATGGCTATTTGATCGATATTAAATCATCAATAAACCTGAAGCTTAAGTTAAACTTCTTGGCCAAATTACCATGTTTTGATTTTGCCAACCCAAGTGATGTTTTCAATCTATATTAATTCCTCCAGGTCGATCACAATTAACTGGGTGGAATTGTTCCCCGGTTCAACTTCAAACTGGAGCTAGATTTCAGTTGAAAACAATTATGCGAATGAAGTTAGTCCTCTTAACTAGGGGCACGTACGGGTTTTCTCCTTGTTATCCTGCATTTTTCAAGCTCATTATCCCACGTGAACTGGCTTTCTTGGTTGATTAATTCTTGTTTCATTCCATAACTTAGAAAATGTTTTCTCGCATCCTCCATTACATCCAATGCTTATGTTGCAAAGGTGATTCTTTCCTTGAACAGCATTCATTGAGTTCCCGAAGAAAACCATTAGGTCACGCAATTAAAGTATTCATGTTCCAAAATCAAAATCAAAACATAACAGTACGACATAGCTCATTGACCAAAACTGATTGTTTGTTACCCGCAGTTTGTTACCTGCAGTTTGTTACCTGCAGTTTCTTGTGTTACCCGCAGTTTGTTACCTGTAGTTTGTTACCTGCAGTTTGTTACCTGCAGTTAGTTACCTGCAGTTAGTTACCTGCAGTTTGTTACTTGTGTAACCTAATGTTTACTTTGTAGATCCCGTGGTCACATCGTGTTACACACATTCATCGTTACATATCTGGCGTACAATATACCCCAGTACATTATGCCCAGCCTATTATAAAAATACATATTCAGTCAACCCTTAAAGATGTAGGGTGTATCATTTCATGTTCATGAACCTGATAATTATATATATGCTACAGGATTGGTTATTAGGCCTCTTCACGATAAATTACATGTTAACATAAAACATGCATTCCCTTGACAAAAAATAAAAAATAATGTTATCTCCTGTTTAACATTTGACAAAGCGACAAAACCTCTCCTGGGATAATATTAAAATACTACATTTCCAGGTCAACTGCACCCTCTCAGCGTCTTAGGCATGAATAATTACCCAACCATTGATTAAACGGGGTGCTCGAGAAAAGTCAAGGTCACCTCGCCCCACCGTCGGTACACGTAAACTCTTTCAATGGTAAGTCAGTTGTTTACCAGAAGAGACATTCACGGGGACAACTGGTTAAAAGGGTGGGACATCATGTTGATAATTGTAAGTGGTTCTTCATATCTGGAAATGCAGCCAACATGTCCAAAACGAAGGCTTTTGAGATCCCCAACCAGGTCCCGAATGCTCACAACCCAGCCAAACAGCCACCGGGCATCAGTGGAACACCTTTACCAAAAATCATAAGTCAAGATGATTATAGTCATTTTACCCAACCAAAATTAATATGACGTAGTCGATACTAGTAGTGGAGTAAATCGTATGTATCCTTATGAGGAGTGAGTTTAGTTTTCGCCGTAGTCAACAATATTCCAGCTATATGGCGGAGGTCTGTAAATAATCGAGTCTGGACCAGACAATTCGGTGATCAAGAGCATGAGCATCGATCTACGCAATTGGGATACGATAACATGTGTCAGCCAGCCTGACCACCCGATCCCGTTAGTCGCCTCTTCTACAAATTGATTACTGAAGATCAAATCCAACCCGGATCTTCACGGGTCTGAATCATCTTATGGCATTTATTGCAAGCTCCCATATAGTGTGTTTAAAGGTCAATCGGGGACAATTGTATCCACTAAGTTTGATCTAGCTGGGGAAACGATGGAAACATCACCTGTGATATTCTTATGGCAAAGCACAGCTTACATTCAATAATAACAACAAAATATCCTTCTGAAAATAACAAACATGCAGTTCAACCAAGTATCACCAAACATGTGCGTTACTGTTTCTTAATCTCAGACAACTGTTCTGTAGAAACTCTAGAAAAGCACCGAATGAAAATTATAAGTATGTTAAAATATTCAATTAAACATGAGGGCTGACGTTGTGTTACAGCGTAACTCTAGCCTTTAATAACGATTACATCTTATTGTATCCTTCGTGGCGACTTCGTGGCGTGTATCCTTCAATTTCAAAACCCAAAACCGGACTAAAACCATGTGTCCGCCTTATGTTGAAAAATACCGATAAATTTACGTTTTGAGTGACTATGATGTTATGGAGGTAGCGGATGTCCTGGCTTGAATTATTTGTACGCTGATGGAAACATACATGGATCAACGAAACTCAGTCATAAGATTATTTAAGCATGGCTCCCTGATAGAGGGAGAGACAAACGTGATAGGAAGTGTTCCAACACGTTTGTCATTAGTTTGTCGAGATCAAATACTTGGGAGCTAACGTGGTAGGAAGTGTTCCGTTCAACACGTCTGCCATGTAGTTTGTCAGATCAAATACTTATATCGAACGTGAGGGAAGTGTTCCAACACGTTTGTCATTAGTTTGTCAGATCAAATACTTTATACCGCTAACGTGATAGGAAGTGTTCCAACACGTCTGTCATTAGTTTGTCAGATCAAATACTTATATCGCTAACGTGATAGGAAGTGTTCCAACACGTCTGTCATTAGTTTGTCAGATCAAATACTTATACCGCTAACGTGATAGGAAGTGTTCCAACACGTTTGTCATTAGTTTGTCAGATCAAATACTTATATCGCTAACGTGATAGGAAGTGTTCCAACACGTCTGTCATTAGTTTGTCAGATCAAATACTTATACCGCTAACTTGATAGGAAGTGCTCAACACGTCTGTCATTAGTTTGTCAGATCAAATACTTATACCGCTAACTTGATAGGAAGTGTTCCAACTCGTTTGTCATTAGTTTGTCAGATCAAATACTTATATCGCTAACGTGATAGGAAGTGTTCCAACACGTCTGTCATTAGTTTGTCAGATCAAATACTTATATCGCTAACTTGATAGGAAGTGTTCCAACACGTCTGTCATTAGTTTGTCAGATCAAATACTTATACCGCTAACGTGATAGGAAGTGTTCCAACACGTTTGTCATTAGTTTGTCAGATCAAATACTTATATCGCTAACGTGATAGGAAGTGTTCCAGCACGTCTGTCATTAGTTTGTCAGATCAAATACTTATACCGCTAACGTGATGAGGAAGTGTTCCAACACGTTTGTCATTAGTTTGTCAGATCAAATACTTATATCACTACCGTGATAGGAAGTGTTCCAACACGTTTGTCATTAGTTTGTCAGATCAAATACTTATACCGCTATTTCAGATCAAATATGTCCTATACTCTCTGTAAGACTTTACTTAGTTAAAAGCCTGATATCAATTCAATGCAGAGCCTACATATTACAGTATTGTTAAAAAAATTGTTATCATTAGTATAGTTTGTTCTAAGTATATTTTTATGCGAAAAGGACACCTCCTATAACCATGTGTGTATCCGATATAAGAAAAAATTGATTTAATAATCTCTCTCTCTCATAGGTTTTAGGAAATAATAAAGCCATAAAATTACCAACAGAATTTAATTTTGCATAAACTGAGCAATGCAGTGGCTGTACTGCCCCTTGCCAAACTCTTCTAAAGGCAAAGGCACATGGCATCAATGACATGCCCTGGGGCAGTTACCTCTTGGGAGGGTTATTGAAAAGTGGCAAAGGAATAAAACGACATAAGAGTAAAATGACACATGGTTGAATGCAAAATAGAAATTTAACGGAAAATGATTTATAAAATAAATTTTAAGGTAAATAAGTGTTTTGACCGTAACACTGGTAAACTTAGAAAAGATAAGAAATTTCATTACCGATTACAATTGAGAGGCACGGTATTGGTAATACTCTATGTTCATGCATTTCCTGAAATACTTAACTTTCAATTCATACTTGGAAATGTCTGCAAATCAGGTCGTAGCATACACATAAGCGTATCACATAAAATCATCTACGTCATACGGCAATGGTGTATGTAAATTAGATTAGTGGGATTCGCCGGTGTACTCAAAATCTAAACATCAGTGAACTTGTACCAGAGATATAAGCAAATGGCACCGAATCCGTTCTGTTGACCAAAGTTTCACTATTCCTGCAAATATTATGTTCGCTATTGTTTTTTTCAATAATTAGAGAAATCTTTCTAACCAAAATGAATATACCCAAAAGGCGTTAACAGGTTGTTTGCATCGGTTCATTGTAGAAAACATGTATCACTACATGCGATGGTATAATGCGAAGATTTCAATGTTAACTTTGAAGTAATATAGTTTATTGCCAGTTAAATTGTAATGTGAAATTCAAAGGCTTAGGAAGTACCGATAAGCCAAGACTCGGTTGATATTCCTATATGACAATGAATCCTGTATTTATCAACATGAAATATTGATAATATGCACTGATTAGCGAAGATGATCTATCATATCCAAGTATTACAACACTCTCTACGCATTCGCCAAGATATCTTCGTGTCGGAAATGACATTGTCAGTTTTAAGGACATATTCAGCACAGAATTTAGCCCAGAAATATATAATACGTAAGCAACTCAAGTTAATACTAAACAGAATACAATGTAGTCTAAGACACAGACGCCGAATACAGTCCGAGTAAAGCCCTGTATCGTGTACTCGTTTGGGTGAGTAGTCAACTGACTGGAATACCTATTAGTCTAAGACACAGACGCCGAATACAGTCCAGTAAAGCCCTGTATCGTGTACTCGTTTGGGTGAGTAGTCAACTGACTGGAATACCTATTAGTCTAAGACACAGACGCCGAATACAGTCCAGTAAAGCCCTGTATCGTGTACTCGTTTGGGTGAGTGGTCAACTGACTGGAATACCTATTAGTCTAAGACACAGACGCCGAATACAGTCCAGTAAAGCCTTGTATCGTGTACTCATTTGGGTGAGTAGTCAACTGACTGGAATACGTATTAGTCTAAAACACAGACGCCGAATACAGTCCAGTAAAGCTTTGTATCGTGTACTCATTTGGGTGAGTTGTCAACTGACTGGAATACGTATGAGTCTAAGACACAGACGCCGAATACAGTCCAGTAAAGCTTTGTATCGTGTACTCATTTGGGTGAGTAGTCAACTGACTGGAATACCTATTAGTCTAAGACACAGACGCCAAATACAGTCCAGTAAAGCCCTGTATCTTGTACTCGTTTGGGTGAGTTGTCAACTGACTGGAATACCTATTAGTCTAAGACACAGACGCCGAATACAGTCCAGTAAAGACTTGTATCGTGTACTGGTTTGGGTGAGTAGTCAACTGACTGGAATACGTATTAGTCTAAAGACACAGACGCCGAATACAGTCCAGTAAAGCTTTGTATCGTGTACTCATTTGGGTGAGTTGTCAACTGACTGGAATACGTATGAGTCTAAGACACAGACGCCGAATACAGTCCAGTAAAGCCCTGTATCGTGTACTCGTTTGGGTGAGTTGTCAACTGACTGGAATACGTATTAGTCTAAGACACAGACGCCGAATACAGTTCAGTAAAGCCCTGTATCGTGTACTCGTTTGGGTGAGTAGTTTTTACTATGCATGACAGGCAATGGGGAAAATCCAATTTGAATGTGGAGCATTAACGAATAATTTTTTTTCAAATGGCCACAAATATTCAGTTATACAGCGTTGCCCTGTTTCAGATTTGTAATTGTGATTGTCTCAAGGGCCCGTGCATCCTTCACTTTCATTGGGCTGTCAAATAGATGTATCTACCGAAACAAAGACTTTAAAGATATTAAGCGAAACTGTTGTGGCAATGTTCCTTCATGAATACACAATGCCGCTTAGAAAGTGGTCAGTTAAAACATATATATATATATGTTGTATTTGGGATCACACTTTCTCAGGAAAGTACCAAATCTGGTACTTTTGACAGGTTGACTCACATCCGGGATTCGAACCCAGAGTCAGGCACCTTATTGCCAGCACACAAAGTCAACAATTTAACCCACCCAGCCATCGCGAGGCCGCGGATGGGACTCAACCCACAACAAATACTAGAATCGGTTCTTTACAAAGAAAGTGTAATCCCAAATGTAGCATATGTTACAAATGTCCCTTCATGTTGAATTATATGGCATGTATGTAATTTAGAAATAACTTCGAAGTAGTGGTGTTTTCTTTCACTGCAGAATCAGCAACGATTTTTCTTTTGACGATGACACCGCCAAACACTACGAGTGTAATGTCTTTTCCTTTGATCCAAGGTTTGTATATACGCTTGTTAATGTCTGCTGGTACGTTATGTACTCGTTCGTTCGTTCATTCGTTCGTTCGTTCGTTCGTTTCTTAAATTGCTCACTCCGCAATATTCCTTATGTGTCGGATGTCCTAAGTAAGCAAGCCTGGTCAAACCAGTGGCTGATATTATGAGAAGTGGCAGATTACGACGACGCAATCAACCAGGCCCGACCAGCCGATCCACTAAGTCGTCCCTTACAACAAGAACTGGCTTCTGTGGACCACTATAAAAACTCTGATGGTGTTATACATTGTCTAATAAGAGGTGGTCTAATAAGAGGCCTATATCCGCCTTATACATTGCGTGAGTGAGTAAGAATGGATTTAGACCGCTTTTAGCAATATTATGGCGGGGGACATCAGAAACGGGCTTCTTACATTGTACTCATGTTTGGAATCGAACCTGGGTATTCGGCGTGTCGAGCGAGCGCTCTAACCACTAGGCTACCCCTAATGTGAAGTTTTATAAGAATAATGCCATGAAAGGTAACAGATTCAAGAACACGCACGACATTCTTGCGGGCTGGTTTTGTAGATTGTACATCTGCTTCCGGCATTTTTAGCAAATATAATGATATATCGCTGCGAATTTAAAAACAATATGTTAATATATACGTGAGTGAGTGAGTTTAATTTTACGCCGCACTCAGCAATATTCCAGCTATATGGCGGCGGTCTGTAAATAATCGAGTCTGGACCAGACAATCCAGTGATCAACAGCATGAGCATCGATCTGCGCAATTGGGAACCGATGACATGTGTCAACCAAGTCAGCGAGCCTGACCACCCGATCCCGTTAGTCGCCTCTTACGACAAGCATAGTCGCCTTTTATGGCAAGCACATGGGTTGCTGAAGATCTATTCTACCCTGGCATCTTCACGGGTTTAATATATACGTAATCAACTTTAATCTTTGACGCTGGCTTATACTACATTATATTACATTTCTGGGAATGTTTTAGTCTGACGTTTGTAGGGTCCTGCATTTTTGTCTGCACATTTATTTTAAACTTCCAGCAGGAGTATGGCATCAAGGTTTCACGAATGTTCAGTTGAAAAGTATTTCAAGCCATTTTTGAGTATCTGTGTTTTTTAAATTTTATGTAGCTGAAAAAGATTATATCATTTGCATATTCTACAAAGCAAATCCCATGTATGATTCTTAAACCCTATTCAGAAATATACATTTGGAAATTTTAGGTGAACCGCCGATAATAGTTACATAAGAATATGTGATTAACAACTATTTTGTTTTCCTTCTTTTAGTTGTATCAAAGAGGTTTACTTCATTAAAAGAAAAATCAACCATGTTCATGCGCCAATATACAATCCTTCCAGAGGGGCACGGGGCGGTGGGGTAGCCTAGTGGTTAATTGTTGGCTCGTCAAGCCGAAGACCCGGGTTCGAATCCCCACATGGGTACAATGTGTGAAGCCCATTTCTGGTGTTCCCCCGCCGTGATGTATATTTTTTAAGCGGAATATTGCTAAAGCGGCGTAAAACCATACTCACTCTTTCTATGCTTACCAAGTTGAGTATATTTGGCCATCAAATGCAGTATTTCGCTTAATTTAAATGTAGTGAACATTTTAAGCTGCAATATTTGTTTGTTGGTTAATAAGCATCGCGCTCAGCAATAATCCAGCTATAGTGCAGAAGTCTGTAAATAATCGAGTTTGTAGCAGACAATACAGTGATCAACATCATGAGCATCAGTCAGGCAGTCCAGAGGGGCACGAGTCGCTATTCGGTTTATCCCCAGATAACACGAGTTGATCACGAATGGAATAACCGATGCTTATCCAAATGTTTTGGGTACAGGACGGTATTTCCGTTCGTTTTGTGTCGCCTGCTACGGATTTTGGTAACGCAATGAATCTGCGGATGTAGCTTTGGAACTGGGTGAAAGAATGTCCTTAAAATAAGTTCGTTGTCATCTGATCAATCCGCGCATATGTGATGTACCCTGTGTGTACCAGTATGTATCCTTATACAGCCGTTAGGTACATCACATCACACGCACCAGCTAATATTACGAATGACATACCTCACGTGCTTTGAGTTTACCATTTGTATCTAACATTATTGTTGATATTTGGACAAACTGTGTCATAAACATCGTCTATTATCGTTGATGCTGTATTATAGTAATAACAGTGATAATAATCATATTTCAGTATGACCCAGGCATCCTACCAGAGGTCGCCACGTGTCCGATTTTTTAAATCAGGCCTTGGCGGAAAAGACCAGAAGAGCAATTCCTGGGATTTACAGACATTGACGACCATCAAGAAAATGTTGAACCACACCGGGGTCAGTGACATTTTGAATCATCTGAAATTATATATTTTACAAATATTTGGAAATTTGCTCCTCGTGAACTAGGAATCTTCTCTCTTCTCTAAACTATGTACCATGTGTCATTTAGAAAGTAGTCAAACGTAACAAGTGTCAAAGTTGAGTTTTATATTTTTGGGGGGTCGTGTCCCGATCTGGGCTTCGGAACCACGTTTACAGAGTTCAAATCGCCATGCAAAATCAGCGACTCCCTCTGCCATCGCGGCTTCCACAACTGGTATTTTAAATCACGTACTCTCGGCTGGGTTCACTCAGGTTCCAGAGTTGGAAGTAATTGTAATTCGAATTTAATTATAGTTGTTTTTAATGTCGCAGCACAGGTCATTTTAGCGACATAAGTATCAAGAAATTATATAATTAATAAACGGTGTATTCCATCGGTGGCCTCTCTGTACCGGCTTCTGTGACACTGCTACAAACAGGCGTACATCAGACCGTATTACCCTCGAGAGAAGCGTACAACAATAGTGTGATTACTGTGTAACTTGTTGTTACCTTGCCTGGCGCCCGGACAAAAGGGACAAATTAAGGTGCTTTCTAATTTGGCTACACTACCAAACACACACAAGTCAGCACTAGCACAACAAGACACAACTATACATGGATGTACTAGCACAACAAGACACAACTACACATGGATGTACTAGCACAACAAGACACAACTATACATGGATGTACTAGCACAACAAGACACAACTATACATGGATGTACTAGCACAACAAGACACAACTATACATGGATGTACTAGCACAACAAGACACAACTATACATGGATGTACTAGCACAACAAGACACAACTACACATGGATGTACTAGCACAACAAGACACAACTACACATGGATGTACTAGCACAACAAGACACAACTATACATGGATGTACTAGCACAACAAGACACAATTACACATGAATGTACTAGTACAACAAGACACAACTACACATGGATGTACTAGCACAACAAGACACAACTATACATGGATGTACTAGCACAACAAGACACAACTACACATGGATGTACTAGCACAACAAGACACAACTACACATGGATGTACTAGCACAACAAGACACAACTACACATGGATGTACTAGCACAACAAGACACAACTACACATGGATGTACTAGCACAACAAGACACAACTATACATGAATGTACTAGCATAACAAGACACAATTACACATGAATGTACTAGTACAACAAGACACAACTACACATGGATGTACTAGCACAACAAGACACAACTACACATGGATGTATGTCCCTTTAAGTGAATCATGTTGAACACAACAAACCCGTTCTTCATTTCATTCCTTTGTATTCGGGGCCGGTGGGTAGCCAAGTGGTTAGAGCGTCCTCCCGTCACGCCGATCACCCGGGTTCGATTACCCACATGGGTACAAAGTGCGAAGATTTCTGGTGTCCCCCGCCATGATATTACTGGAATAATGCTGATGGAGGCGCCAAACTAAACTCACTCACTCACTGCTTTGCTGTTTCTGATATTGTCAAGAAATGTGTTAGGATGTTCTTTTAATACATTAAAGCCTCTTTGTTTCTTTTCCAGAAATATATTGATGTTTTAAAGATGGACATCGAAAATTCAGAATGGCCCTCGCTACCCAACATGGTGTCATCCGGCGAACTGTCGAACGTCGGACAGTTTCTCGTGGAATATCACGGACCTTGTAGCAACTTGAATGACTGCGTCAGCAAACTGAAAATATTGAAAGACGTCCATGATGCAGGATTCAGGAAGTTTTATGTTCACAAAAATCATAACTGTGGAATTACTAATGCCTTATTTCCAGTCATAAGGACATTTTGCTATGAGATTCATTACGTGAATATCAAGCTTCAGTGAAGTCCATGTTTAGTGAGTGAGTGAGCTTAGTCTTACACCGATTGTAACAATATTCCAGCAACATCGCTGCGGCTTTGTTCAGTGAGTGAGTGAGTTTAGTCTTACACCGCTTGTAACAATAATCCAGCAACATCGCGGCGGCCATGTTTAGTAATTTTCCCACCACTTCAGTTGGTGCCAGTTCATGTTTATTATAGTCGGGGGGATTGGGGTCCAAATGGTAGAAGTTGATAGTTAGCACGTGACAGATCTCACACCGGGACCGAGTGGCCAATGTTCCCAGGGAGATCCGCGCTGTCACCAACACACATGCAGAAGTCGGACGGCAATTCTTCATCGTCGACGTAGTCGTTGGTGAGGCGACGGCCTTGGTTTCTGTCGTTGAACGTAAAATCATTACCCACCTTTTCCCTGATACCTGTTAGCGTCCTGAGCACGCTATGCATGGCGTTTAAGCGCAATACAAGCAGACGATACTATTATTATGTTTTACAGATTAAGATGACAAATGCAGCAGAGAGGGTTCAGGTGATCCTGGCACAATCAGGCTGGTAAAGCTTTTCATCAGCTGAGAGCCCTTGTCTCCTCTACACGCATCCCAAACAGCGAATGGAACATCTCCCAGGAAACGCTGCCTAGTCGAACCCACCAAGAACTTTCCGGAGAATATGATGGCTCCCAACACTGCAGCCTTTTGCATTACCCAGAGTGTCAGAGGGGTTGTCCTCCCGGTGGAGAACCGGGGTACTCTCCAGATCTACGCCAAGAGATCAGGAGGTACCAAACCAAGGGCATCGAGAAAAATGGGGAGCCTGACGACAGTGTGCTTGGGATGCTTTTCCTGAATCTTGCCAATCACATTGCTGTCAAAAGGGAAAGACAATTCAATGATATAAATACATTCAATGGCTTTATCAAAAAGGACAAGATCAGGTTTGTTGGCAGGAATTCTTCTGAGGCTGTATATGGGTCTATTCTACAGAAGTTTGAAAGCAGCATTTTCCATGACGCCCTGGACATGTTCAGGGTCGTACCATGGATGGACCTCAGAGTCAAAGCCACAGGAATGGCGGAGACGGTTGTAGAAGCAGCGAGCCATGCCATCATGCCTTTCAAGATATGCAAGTTTGTGCCAAGGAAGGGCATCCATTGACAAGGTGTTAGACAGTCTCTGTGAATTCATTGCAAAGTAGACCTTTCATATGGACATTTTCTTTAAGAGTCACATTTTGGCGATAACGAGTGGGAAGTGACTGGCCCTGAGCCGCAAACAGAAAGCCCTCAGTTTCACATTTAAGACCAGCCGACTTCATCCCGGCGAAGGAGTCGGTGGCTTTGCTATTCTGTTCCGGGTATTGCACGTACACACGATATATATACATATATATATATATAATCTTAATCCAGAATATTTTTTCCCCAGAATGATAGCTCTAGACAGCATTTGCTGCTATATTTTCCTGAAAAACATATTTCAAACTTTTCACAAAAATATATTTTCACAGGGAAATTACTGAAATTAATTGATTATATTTTAGTATTCTAACAAATATTTAATACCATATTTAAGCAATGACAAAATAGCTCTTTCAGCAAAAGTCATTATTCTATTTGGCTATAAAATGTTATGTACCAGATGTAAAACAACAACTTTCCATGCATTTTCTTTGGGGCGTTTGTGGGGTTGACAGAAGTCAGTATACAATCTATATGCATATACGATGAAAATTATAGCCTAGTGCTAGTTACATCGACTGAAGCCTGTTGTGGGGGCGTATGGGGGGTTAACTATGGAATACTGTAAGAGACATTCTCGCGATCTCGACCTTAGGCTAAACAAGCTAAAAATGCCAAAAGTGCGAGAATGCGAGATCGCGAGAATGCGACATTTGTACATCCTGTCAAATCTCGCATTCTCGCTATCTCGACTTGTCAAATATGGCCACAAAAATACGAAATCGCGAGATCGCGAAAATGCGACATTTCATTTTCTCGCGTTCTCGCGATCTCGCGTTTTAGACGCTGTCGTTGTGCATGCGTAATATCATAAGGTCAAGGCGCATGCGCATCTTAGTAGTGCTGTGGTCATGCTTCTTTCATGATTTTCATTTCCCAAGTAGCATTTAGCAAAACTATGACATAGCTTAAAAATGCTAAGTAATTTACATACACGATGTGTAGGGTAGTGTATATAAATACGCTCCCGTTGTTACAATTTCCTATGTACTTAAAAATCCTCAACGTGTTAAATATAATTTAACACACGAAATTGTGAATATGAATGTCCAATAAAAGTCAAAACATGAAAGTGTCCGGAAGCTGGAAATATCTTAACTTCAGTGAGTGATAAAATAGTGCTTAAAGCCGCATCAATTCGCAGCTACACCGTCAGTTATACAAACAATCACAGACCAGTGGGTTTCTCCATGATGCAATATCATATACGGCTAGCATATTCATTCAAACAAAATTCTAACAGGCCAATTTGTAGCAGTCGGCTAAAATGAGCATGTCTGATGTTTTACTCGACACCATATTCGCTACTTTAATAGATTTTCTTCCGCTCCCACCTGACTACAAAACATCCTGCTTTATACTATTCTTTTGTCTTATGTCCATATCGTGGTGGAAGAAGACACCCTGTAATAACAATACTATTTTTATACACGACAAACATAACATAAAATCACATCTGATGAACATGTCATCATAATAAATATAGTGCATAAATGTGCCTATCAACAATCATATACAGGTATTACGCGTCGCAATATCACACAGGTGACTTACGTGATCACGTGTTTACAGTGATATACAAAATGAGTGTTGACATAAAGACTTATAATAATACATGGTATAATAATGAAATAGACAATAGATACTGTACAAATAACCTATCCTGTGGGTGACACGAGAATGGGTTTGCACATCCAGCAGCCGAACAGTCATCGCATGCAATAACCTATATAGGTACCACACACTGATCAAATGTAATCTTTGTCAGATACATACAATATACATGGTAGATGAGATATATCAATCTTACATGATACAGAAAATAGTTACCAAAGAAGAACAACTAGCCAGCATATTGACTGGACATGTAGAAAACTACCATAAGCACATTCATACAAGTTTAGTTTTTTTTGTAAAGTATTTTTATTCACTTTACTTGGTTACATTTGAACAAGATATGTGGGTAGAGTAGAATGGTACAGGTTGCATAATAAAAAGCTGACAGTGTATAACATATGGTACTGGGAATATAGATTAACAATTGAGATGCTAGCTAATATTACAGAGAATTAAAAGACTAAAAAATAAATTACAGGACTGCATCTAGGACATTCCATTTTCTGTAAAAATGTTTCATATATCCTGGAATGAATCCTGTTTGATTTTCGTTTATAAGAAAATTCAAAGTTTTTTTAATCCTGTTTGTTATACAAGTACTTATAACTTTATACAATGCGTTTAGGAGAGAGATAGGTCTCCAATTCTTTAGGTATCTTCTATCCTTACCTGGCTTAGGGATACATGTAATTACTCCTCTATTCATTGTCGTAGTCATAGAATTCTGGCTGAAAGTTACTTTTATATATCGGTGAATCCAAATTTTCAGATTTTTCCAGAAAAATTTGAAGAATTCGATAGGGAAGCCATCTAAACCTGGACTTTTGTTATTTTTCATTGATTTAACAGCATGCGAAAGTTCTTCGACACTAATATCGCGCTCTAGTTCATTTGACTGTTCTTTATTTAAAGGAGTAGCAATATGTTCGAATACAGCTTTAATGTCTTCATCTATGTCGCAATTAGATTTATACAGGTTTTCATAGAATCGCTTTTGTTCCACTATTATTTCTCGTCCACCTGCTATTTCTTCACCATTATCACGAATAAGGGAGTTAATAAGTTTGTTTGTATAGTTTCTATTTTCTAAATGGCAAAAATAATTTGTAGGTTTGTCTCCTTCTTCATACCACTGGATTCTATTTCTAACTTGGATTCCTTTTATTTCTTCTTCTTTTATTTTTTCCAATTCAATTTTACTTTTAGATAAATCAGCAAGAATTGTTTCATTAACGTTTTGGAAGTTACTTCTTATTTCATCTTCTATATGACATATATTCTCCTCTAGTTCTTTATATTTTGCAGTTCTGCCTTTCTTAAGATATGAAGAGTAAGAGATGGATTTTCCTCTCAGTTTCATTAAAAATGTCTCTAAAAATAGAGTGTCACTGATAGTCAAACGTAAGTGTTCATCATTAATCTCGTTTAATACTTCATCTGAATATGTAGGGTCTGCGTATTCTCGTTTTGTTTCATTAAGTAAGTCAATTACCAGTGTTATATATTCCTCTCGTCTCAATAATGATGTGTTAAACTTCCAATAGCCGCGTCCCTTTTCCTGATTTTTTTGTGTTGATAAAGATAACGTTACAGCAGAATGGTCACTTTTATAACCAGGTATGATGGATATATTACTATTTATGTTAAAGAGGTCTTCAGGTACCAAGAAGAAATCTAATCTGGCTTGTTGGCGAGGATTCTTTTTCCACCATGTATACTTTTTTGTTTTAGGGTTTAACTCTCTCCATGCGTCTATTAAGTTTAAATTGCCTATTTGGTCCAAGACAGTCTTACGAGCCTGTGGGTTATTAATGTGTTTATAGTTTTCAAGGTCTATGGAGGGGTCTAAGACAAGATTCCAATCTCCACACACTGCAATTGAATCGTTACCCATATTTACAATCTTATCAAATAAAGATATATAAAAGGAAGGACTATCAGAGTTCGGTCCATATACATTTGTAAGGGTTAATCTTATGTCGTCAACAGTTATATCTTAAATTATGTAATTTCAGTAGTATGGGGGCCTTTATGGCGTCAAAATCTATTTTAAGCTATGGGGCTTTATAGGGTCAAAATCTATTGTTAGACTCCACATAGTCTATTTTTAGATGATGAGTCACTGCTCTCTATTGTATATGGAGATCTATGGTGTGAACATCTGGTGTGTTTATTTTTAGATGGTGAGTCTTTGTCTCAGGGCTATATTGAGACCTATTGTGTGCACAC